TGTCTCTCACACAACACTTACTCTCTCTCTCTCTCTCTCTCTCTCTCTCTCTCTCTCTCTCTCTCCCTCCGCATAGTCATTTTCTCGTTCGGTTACCTCGTGGCCGGAGGGCCACACACAAGACCACAGCCGTTTGATTGGTACCTTCCCGGGATAACGCGGCGTGACGCAATTGAATTCTAGTTTGAAAGATGGTCATTGTACGATCCCGCTGCGCTCGACTCGAAATTACCTTTTCCCTCGATTACTTTACACGAACCGTATTTTTCGTTCTTTTGTACCGTGGACGAGGGAGAAGAAGAAGGAAGAAAAAAAGGGACGGGAGATAATATTTATGGAAATATCGACCGGTGGTGGTCGCGTCTAACTTGGAGAGAAGGGTGAATTGGTGGAAGTGGAGATTCGAGGCGCAATTGCGATTCCGTAGTTGAACGCGAGCCAAAGGCAAACACGAGCGAATAATTGCAGCGAAATGTAGCGAGACAGCGACGACACGAGCCGCGGGACGATTGCTCGGCAAATTCTTGGAACTGTCAACAACGGATTCAGGAACGGATGGGTGGTCGGCCTCGCGATACGTGCGGTCTAATGCGCATCGGTTATAGCCTCGTTATTCCTTTATTTACACGAGAGAGAGAGAGAAAAAGAAAAGAAATTATTCCTTCTTTAAATTTTGCGAAACTTGAAAGCTGAATCGTTGATATCCCAATCACGAGCTACTATATACGAATCCATCTAATTATTCTTTTTATCAGAATCTTGAATTTCATCTTTGAAAAAAATGTATCGATTATTAAAGGTTTCTATGTGGCTTCCACAAAATGAATATCTAAAAATGATTACGGCACAGTCATTAACTGCACGAACGAGCAGAATCTCATAGAATGCATTAATTAACGCACATCTTTTATATAATCATATTGTATAATAATACGATAAAGAAATCATAAGTTAACAATAATTGATAAAAACTTAAACAAATTAATATTAAATAATAATTAAATAATAGGAATATGTAAGTATATAGATATTCATTCTTTTTGAGATTGTGCGGGTCGTGAATTTGTTATCAAATATATATTGCATAAAATAATATCTCGACTCGTTAAGGAAATAAATAATTAATAATAAAATCAAATTAAAAATGTGAGAAAAGATTTTTCCATCATTCTCTGTCCTCGCTCGCGGACAAAGTGTACCGCGGTCGAGTCAAGGTCGCGATTCAAAGAAAGATAAGTCGGCGAAATGCAGTCTCGGTTGCATCATCGCGAGGATGGCACGGGACTTCCAGGAAAAAACTGTCGTCCGTTTTTTTGACGGATCCAATTAAGGCCCTCGGGCCCTGGTAAGGTCATTAGCATTGATACCGAAATTCGTGTTCCAATCAAAAGGCATTCTTCGCGCATTCGTGCTGAGATCATCGTGGCCGACCAAGATCGCGATCAATGGAAAGGATCGATCGAATAAGAAAATTATGAATGAATGTGAAACGAAATAATGGAATTATTTGTTCTACCATTTATAATTTAATTTCGAAAGATTAACACGTTTCTTAAAAATATCGATCGATCTTTTTTCTCCAAAAAATGTGCACATATTTGCAAATTTTGCAAACAAATTGAAATTAACAAAAAAAAAAACTATCCATATATCATCCTAAGTAAATAATTAAATCACTGACCGACGTCTACTTCTATTTTCCCAGGAAATATTTAAAAAAAAAAAAAGAAACTATTCAAACTGGAGATCCATCACCAGATATTAAACGGATCGAACGCTGCGTGTCGATGAACCCTCGAAATTAATTTCTCTATTCAGCAGGGCGGGCGGCCGTGTATCAAGGTCGCGAGCTCATTAGCCATTGATAGCAGCAGATTCGTGGCCCAATCAAAGGGCATTCTTCGTGCTGACGTCAAAAAAGGCCTCCACGCAAGTACGCCGGCCAGGAAAATCGAAATCCTTCGGGACGTGTGGCCGTGCCCTCCCCGCCGAGTGAGGAGGAGGGACGAGACAGGGCGGAATAACGCGGCGCACGAGGAGGAAGATAAAAACCGAGGGAGGGAGGGAGGGAGAAAGCCTCGAGGCCCGTTCAGAGACTAGTTAGCACCTTCTCTTAAGTCCGGCGCGTTCTCGAATCAAGGCAAGCATTCTGCTCGAGTCGGGCCGGCCTGCTTGCTACAATGCGGCATTGTACTTAAATCAGATTCAATTTGGGCCCCATTGAAAATTACGCTTAATAAATTATTTGGGCAATTCATAAATCCGACTCGTGCGGTGCCTGACTGCTCTCCTCCCTCCCAGACTCGCCTCTCTCCCGCTTTCGAAACGGCGCAAAGCTCCTTTTCCAAAGAAGACCGTTTACTAATGGATCGCTCTATGGCTGAACGCGTCCCAGGGACGCGTATTCCTCTATCTTCTATTCGCCATCTCGTGGTGAAATCGTTGAACGTGAAACTGCTTGGGCGTTAACTATATTGCGAGCTATTAAGATAAAGAGAAAAAACTGCTTCGAGTCGAGACAGTAGTAGTAGTGAAGTATGTTGTGTAAGTGAGGTCTGAGGTAATATAACGAAAGTGTCAGTTTTCGACAATTCGTGGTATTATGTGTCGAATGTAAAAAGAGATGCGCGTTCAGAGAGTGTGTTCAGTTGGCAAAATTGGTCACACATTTCATCACGATCGATAATATCGATGCAAGGACGATCGCCGTGTATATCGTATCGTGTTCAGTTGTTTGTTGTACGAGCGATATCTATATTTATTTTTTTATTCCCTTCTACGAATTATGTCGTACGTATCTGTTTGTTGTAAAAGCGATATCTATATTTATTTTTTATTATTATTATTTTTTTTTTTTCATTCGCAATCAATAAATATCTTGTAATATGCGACAGTTATAATCAATCGTATTTCTCGTTTATCGAGTTATCATAGAATTTAGAAAACTTTTTATAAATTGTAACTAATTCACGACATATCATTTAACAAATACGATGTTGCTTGCTGTAAACAAGCGTTTCATTTTTTTTCTTTCTTTCTTTCTTTTACGTGTACGTAAATGAGACTGATATTATAAAGTTACGAAACGAGATATATCTCTAGAGGAGGAGAGATATTGTTGACTGAACATTTTCAAGAGGAAGGGAGAGTTCGAAGCCCGAAACGTAGAGATTCCAATCCTATGGATGCGGCCCTGAGAACGATTAAGCTCGAAGGGTCACCAGGTAAATACGCACGCGCTCTTACATACACACAGCCAATGATTATCGACCTGCACGTGTACATCGTTTATACTACAAATTAGTAGGCAGTTATAAATGACAGTTTTCTTATTATCGTGCTAGCCTTATTACCATTCCTCTCATTGACGTTTGACCGACCGGTGCGCGTGAAACGACGTATCATTTTCGGCTAAGAAAATTATGAGATCCATTGTCAATGATTAATGTAACATCGTGCATCGTCTTCATTGTAAATTGGTATATATTTCTTATTCTAAAATTCTTTGATTGTCAAAAAGAAAAAAAAAAAAAAAAAAATGAATTCTCGATTCTTTTTCTAGGATTGGATCTTTGATTGATACGATAATTGTCATTTTAATTTTTTATTGCGAAATTTCGTTATTAATTTTTTAATAATTTCAATATAATACAAGTAAAGTTGAGCAAACTTTTTTTTATCAGAATTTATTAATAATTTTGTTTCCAAATAATTAAATAACAAGCAAAAAATTTTAAAAATGCAACTTTAAATGCTCTTGCAATATAATTTTATGTGATAATGCTATCTATATGATGTGCCAATTATGGGGCAATATTGAGAATTAATTATCATGTATAAAAAAAATAATAATTTTATATATTTTCATATTATAATTAATTGATAAAAAACGAAAAAATGATTTAATATAATAATAATGATAATAATATATTTAAAACGAATTTAACGAAACATTTTTATTCTTAAATTAAATACTCGTAGATAATACAAAGACTTGCTAACATTTTACAATATACCTCGATATCTCTCCTCCCAGACCGTCGATTCGAATCCTCCTTTCCACGATTATCTTCTCGATAATTGCCACTTTGACTTGAACGGTCATTTTTCAGCTAAAGAAGCGTTGCTATTCTTCATTGCGAAATTCTACGATCTCGTATAAAAAGAAAAGAAGAAAAAAAGAGAGAGAAGAGGAGGCAAAGATTTGGGAAATAGTTAGGAAATTTACGAGGAAACCACACGGTGAAAAAGGTACGGGAGTCCTTTAACAACCCGCAAACAAGGGCCTGACACGTTCAAACAATCGTGGAGGAACCGACGAACCTATAATTAGTGTAAGATCCTTTCCAGGATCTCTTTTTGGCATTCGTTTTCTCGGGGCCTAACCAACCGGCTCACCATGCGATCCACCATGCCTGTTTTCGTTCGTTAGATCGTCATCTGCGAATGTTCGACATGTCGGAGGACCTTTGACCAGAATCGCCGCCCGGAACCATGAAAAACCGCGTCTTGCCTGAAGATTCGTTCAGGAAATAAATCTGTGGTATATTGCAATTGAACGGGAAGAAACAACGTGCAAATCGATTTGAAGTCGAGGAAATTTGTAAATGCTTTGTGTAAAAATTTACTGCTATAGATTTAGTAAAACAAGATGAAGAATATTAATTATTATTATTATTTAAAAATATAAAAATTAAAAATTAAAAATTCTTAATAATTCTTAAAGTTATTATAATATTATAAATTATATTGTAAATTATATTTGATCATTCAGAGATTGCGTAAACCTCCTTTAAAAAAATATATATTGTTCAAAATCTCGTTTATAATATAAAAATATTTATATATTTCGAATATAAAGAATTAATTGATTATTTTAAATTTGAATTATTTATTTTATAATTAATTTAAATCTACAAATAATCTTAATGTTTCTACAATTTTATAATTTAAAATTATAATTTATATTATAATTTATATTTTTAAAATTCTTATGTAATTTATACATCTTATTGTCTTATTTTAATTATCTAATTCTTTTTATAGATCGAATGGTAAAAATACTGTTTTTTCTTTTTTTTTTTTTAATATTAAGTTTTCTCTATTTTTTAATTATCTAATCACATCTTATTCGCTTAGAATTGCACTTTCATTTTTATAATATTAATTCTTAAATTAAAAACACGAGGAATGTGTAAGTATGATGTAATACGAAAAAATATGTATGATTCTAAATTATATTATATAAATGCCAATCCTAATTTAATCATAAATTTTTTTCATTATTTATTATACATGTTAGATTTTTATTAAATAAAATAATAAAGCAGTTATGATTGGCAATTATTAGATTACTGAAAGTTATTGGAATTTTATTTATTTTATTGTTGTAGAAAAAGACAAATAAATTTTTTATATTTTTAGATAATTAATATTTTTCATCTTGTTTTGAAACTAAATACGTATTAATAATATTTCATCAACGAAATTAATAAAATACTTATTATCTTTAAATAAAATATAACAGATGTAGACAAAAGTATTTAATAATTCGGATATTACTCGTTAAAGTATATCAATTTCGAAGAAATGAGTTCTTCAACAGATATTGCTTTCATCCATAATTGAATAATAGAATATAGAATGATTCTAAGAGTTAGAAGAGAAAACATGATAAATTTCTACATAAAAATATTTAATAGCTTAATGAAAACTATCTTTCTATAACCATTTTTTATGCGTTCCATGTTTGATAAGCCGATTTTTCTTGTTATTCTGCGGAAAGGTCGGCGAAGATTGAACGATTTACGAGATATTTCGTGCCTTATGTCAGAAATCTATTTTATCTCCCTGTTGTTGTAACCTCCAATGTAAATTCTAAGAACAGCGCGATATCGTGTTTACTACATCGTCTCACAAAGTATGCATAATTTAACTCGTAACACTTGGATCGCGATAAGATATTCAAAACAAGACTATTGATAAAGAGAGACCAATATAATTCGTAATTAATTCCAAAATTAAAAAGCTGAAAATTCTTTTTATGAATATATTCACGAATATATCTAAATCAAAGAAATGTACATTTTCAGTTGTGAAATTTCTATTATTTTCAATAAATTTCTTCCATCATGATATATAAAAAATACTCAATCTTTCATCAAAATTGTATAAACACGTGTTTTTTCCAAATTTTAGAAGATTAAAATTTATTTCAATTATAACTATACTATTTCATATAACAAGTAAATAATAAACAATTGATTCTGTAAAAATATTGTCAATAATTGAAAAATTAAGAGAAATTAAAAATTATTTGAATTCAAGAAAATTTTAGCAAATCTGCAAGATTTTATGTTTTATCAAAATAATATCAGTGGAAAATAAACTTTATAAATTGGAAATTTGGAATATTTAATATATTTTTCATCTATTATTTATTTTGTTTTCAATAAAACAATCTAAAATTGAAAGAAATTTTAATGTTCGATAATAAATAGAGTTTTTTTTTTATAATGGATAAATAAATTCAACTGTTATCAAAAATGGAAGAAGCTCATTGAAAACAATGGCGAATACGTTAAGAGACTAAAATAAATTATTTTTTTTAATCAATTTATAACGGAACTCATTAAAACATTTACACGTACCTAGGTTAACGTCAAAAACATTTCAATTTCAAATCGTTGTTTTATAGAAATTTCACAACTGAAAATGAATATTTCTGTATTTAATTAATACGATTAAAATATACTTATAGAATGTACTTACGTAAAAAGAATTTTTAACTTTTATTTTTAGAATTAATTACGAATTATATTAGTTTATTATACTTTGTACAAATCGAATATCAATGTTTTACGATAAAGAAATTCAAAAGTTATCGTGGCGATACGAGAATCATAATTGACTAAATAAATTACTTACTGTTCATAATATAATATAACATAACTTATTCCTTTAGAACGAAACCCATATTCTGCACGCACATATAACGAAAGTGAAGGTAATGAAGAATTGCAGTTGTTTTATGGAAAATAGAAGATCCCCTTGGATATTCCTCTTCTGAACGAGAACGATGGAACGGTGGTTTATCACGATTTGAACTATGCCACATACAATTAGTTGAAAACAAGATAACCAAACGAACAAACGACGTCGTTAAAGAACGATAGTAATTATAAATAAGTATACACCTGCGTGCTGACTAGTGCTTCGCGAAAAGTATACATAACCTAGCGAACCGATACATGCACGCGCACGCGCAGTGAGATTCATTTTGCGCGAGCTCGGTGGGTAATTAATTCCCTGCTCGTCAACGTCTGCAATTAAAATTATACATTAATGATTTACAAAAACTTATTTTATTACACATGGACGACATATTATCTCTGTCGGCCTCTAATTATAAATCCGACCACGACTTCTTTAAAACACGGAACGAAACAAATGAGGGAAGATGAAAAAGATCTTATTCTTCTTTATTTCCTTTTTTCCTTTCGTTTCTTGCGCTGCTTATTTTCTTCTAGTTTCTTTAATATAATTGGAGTAATGATAAAATGAAGCTCAATAAGTGTATATTATACTCTTTTATAATAATAATTAAATTATAAGATATAAGAAGACATTTCTGGTATATTAGCTTTGTATGAAAAATTTAAGATAATTATATAGAATTATTTTTGTATTTTTTTTAAATTTTTCTATTTACAATTATCTTTAAAAAATTTAATTTAAAACAAACTTTCTTTAAAACGTGGTATTTCTTAAAACAATTAAAAAAAATATATACAATTGATTATTTAAAAGATTATACGTACTTACTCATTTATTAGATTTTGCATATTATATTTTAATCAATTAATTAGTATTATAAAAACCAAGAATAAATTTGTTTTACAAAAATTTTGTGACGTATGTAGCGCAATAATGAATTTATTTAATGATGATTTGAATATTTTTTATTATTGCCTATCGGAAATATCAATATCAATATCAAATGAAATCAATCTTTAATATTTTAATATTTTTTTCTTTTATTAAAATATAATTCTCTAAAATATAAAATAAAACATATTTTTAAATATGTAAAATATTCAAGTCCTATTCTATTATAAGAAATATTTCGAGACGAAATTATATATTAAA